TGGTCTCCTTTTATCGGAATGCCTACTCATACCAGAAAGATTTATTTTTACAGGTCAGAGAGTAGTACACCACAGCACGCAGCCTGCAGTGTTTTGGTTATCGTACCTTTCATTCTACAAGTAACATGAGGACATTTATTTTTAAAAACATAAAAAGTTAATGTTGGGTTTTCAAAAGTCTAGGGCTTTTTGGCTTGTTCCTCCTCTGAACTCTTCACAGTGTGAACATATTGAGAAATTCTCTAAGAGCTGAAAGATAGTCTCAACTATGTCTTCAAAGTCTTGATCACACAGCTATTGCAATTTTTAGATGTTTAATTTATCACAGCATATCAGGCATACTCTCAGGACTGAGATGAGTATTGGCCAAGTAAATATATCATTTGATAACTAAGAGCAGCGAGTTCCATTTTCAAGGGAACTTCTGTTCTCTGGGGTAGGGCACTGACTTCTACATCACTATATTGTGCTATCACCTCAAGGGTCAACTTATTAACCCAAAAGACCAGGTTCAGCTGACAAGCCCAAAGCTCCCCATCCCTAGTGTACAGAGCTAGTCTAAGAACTTAGAGACAAGACAGAAACCACATGACTGTGTGGTCTCAGGTTGGCAAGATCAGCACCATAATCATAAGGGTATCTTAGAAGGATGTCCTTAGTGACTAACCCACTTCACCCCTGCATGCCCAGTTTTCCTCTGTGTAAAGTGGAATGCTGTTGCTTCTTCCATTTGTTGAAGGCTATCAAGGTATGATCTTGTTTCTAAGAAAGGTTTGTAATCTCAAGTTGCATTAATAGAAATATCCAGATAATATAATATCCAGATCAAGCCAGGAACTGACATATCAGCACTCAGTACTGGTGAGACTGGTTTAGAATTATTGGTGTTTGGTTCTGGCATTAAGAACTGGATAAGATCTAGAGGAGGGCACCAAATGGTGAGGTGTCCTGTGCTATGCTTTCTTTCTCTTGTCCCCCTCTCTTTTATGCCTACACATTCCTTGGCATTCTCCCATGTGCACTGATCTTCATTGCAATCTCTGAAATACAAACTCCTCCCATACGCATATTATCATCACCATTCTTGACAGTTACCCACAGGTAAAACATAGATAACATCACCCCTAGCACCACCCCTACCAACACCAAGAATCAGAAATCTGAGCCAGAAGCATGTGAAGTGGTTTGAGGCAACACTGAACTGGGCATCTAAGGTGATGCTAATCCCTAACCTTACGAGCACTTACCATGTGCTATGAAATATGTGGATCACAGAATTAAACCACTAAAACTGACCTTTAAAAGTACATACATTTTATAGGAAATAAAAAAATATAATTCAAGAAAATTTATTTAGAATAAAAAAAATTACAAAAGGTACCAGAAAAAAATAAAGAGTAACTTTCTGAAATAAGTAATGTCTAATACCTGGCTTTGGCCCATGTATAAATTAGACTGTAGCTTTTGTGAATTGCTAAAATAATACTTCTTTCCATAGTGTGTATTTCAGGTGATCAAAATGCTTTGTAAATTCAAAAAGTCAATTATAATGCTGTTAGGTGATTGGTGGTGTGTTATGAATATGCAGTCAGAGAGGAAATCCAATGGAGTTAAGTGTTTGGTGAAGGCAGAAGATAGTCATCAAATATTCAAATTGCAGCACAGCCTGTAAGAGTAGGTATTGTAAGTTCACATGCATGAAATACTGATTTATAGAGAGGAATGCATCTCTCTCTGCGAATGGCTCAAGTAGGGGCTCTTTTCAAGTTCAGAAAACCATTAGATTTGATTTAAGCTAAGTGAAATAAACAAACTCCAGCCTAAGTGAGAGCTAATTGTCTTCCCCTGCCTTTCAAAGTCATCAAATTCAAAACCTGAATTTGTTGCTTTTTTCTTGGTTCAAATCAAAGCTAACTTGACATTAGCATTAGGGCAATCCCTCTTTCGAAGTGCACTGAGGAAACAGAGACACCAAAAGTTTAATTGAATTATCCTGAGAATGTAGTGACGCGGGTGGATCTGTCCTCCCTTCTCAGGGCTTGAGCTCTCTGCAAGCATCGTGGTTTTGGATTGGTGTTATTTCTTGAGCTTGGGTCTGGCTCTAGGTTGTCACGGGTCTAAACAATTTGGAGATGCAGGTCTTCTGGAGGCTTTCTATAACTTCCAAGCAAACTCAGATCCCTATTAGGTCTTTGGACATTCAAGGCCACAATTTAGCACCAGAATTTCCCAGTTCTTTCTTGGAAAAGATGTTTCTAGAACAACTCAGCTAAGAGCTGACTGCTTGGGTCCATCCCATATCTGAACACCTAAAGTTAGGGCTGGTATCCTGAGATAAATATCTACCACAGTTTCTTTCTCTCTTTTCAGTCCACTGACTGTTGGGGGCAAAGAATAAAATCTAATTCTTTTATCACAATTCAGTTCTCTAATATATCAGGCTATTTTCTGTTTCTTTTATTATAGTTCACTTGAGAATGAATCAATAACTTAAACAAGTCCAACGTGATAGGATTAGAAAGGAAATATTTACATGTCTAATCTTAGTAATTTTTTTCTAAGTTGCCATTAAATGACCATAAATAGGTGATTGACTACTACAGAGGATTTTTACTTTCAATTCCTTCTATGTATTTATTGAGGTACATGAAATAACAGGATTTAGTCATTCAACACAGTGCATGGGACAGGAGTGCATGAGGAAACAAAGTTCCAGAAATCTTCCAGTTCTTAGATAAAGGACTTAAATTCTTATATTGGGCTCCTAGATTGAATCATTTTATTCCCACTAGTGATATTATGTCCAATTTTGCTCTTTTTCTCCTTTTCAGTTCTCAGGCATTATTCTGGAATTTTGGGGGTTGGTGAGGTGGGTTGAGGGATTGTAGTTGACATTTTCATTTGGAGAAAAAAAAGGAATCTGATAAAAGGAATCAGTCCTCCAGATTCAAAGTAACTTCAGGATTTGATGTTTAGGAATTACCCATGGGCCTAATCAGTCCCATTTAGAATAATTTTTTAACTTTAGAATGCCTAGTGGACAGGAAAGATTTACTTACATGTCCAGATTTTAGTTGAGTTAAATTTTGCCTGACTCATTTAAACTTGTAGAAAAGCAAACCATTTATTTATTCCTTTTAAAAATAAGAACTGATTTGACATAGATTGTTTGTATCAAAATACACTGATGACTAGATTGGTTTGAATCATTCTAAGTGATCATCTAGTTTGATAACTGCTTATAAGAAATGGCTTTGGGTAAACAACTCAAAGAGACTTTGGGAAAAAATAACATCCCTTTTTGTTTTTTTTTAAATAACAGCTACCCTATAATAACACTGCAAAAAATAAGGCGATTCAACTATTTTAAAGATCATGCTGGAAGTGTAAAAACCAAAGGAAAAAATACCTTCTAATACCAAGTACTATATTGAATACTTTAAACTCTAACTTACAACGCAACTACACTTTAAAAAACCTGGCAACCACACTTTAAAAATCTGCCAAATTAAATATAATTTTTCCACTTTGATTTCATTTAAAAGATACTATGTCTACATTAATTGTAAAATGTGATTTGGGGTAGTTCATCAAATACTATTCCATTTTCAAATTTTCGTTTTATAGTTTGTTTCTGTAACATTTCAGTTGAGTTTACATAGTAACTATGATTAAACAGTGCAAATTCACCGAAATATTTGATGCTGAGTTCACACTATGCCAAACATCTAGAAATATATTAAGATATGACTCACTGTTACATGATTTCCTATATGAGTCAAAGCATTTTCCCTAAATATAGACAGATGAATTTTACTACAACACAGTCATCTTATAAAGTGTCTGTTACTCATGGCCCCAGTATCAACATTAAAAGAGTTCCAGTATATCTGAAGAATGAACCAGATTTTTCAGTTTTTAATCTTAATATATGGCTTCAGACATAGCCACATATATTCACCCTTGGAAGTAGAATAAAGAGTATTAATCAGAATTACCTGTCTTGAAATTTTTCTATTATTTCTTGTTGAGAGGAAAATTCCTAAAGTCTTGATTACTATTAGCATAATGGACATTGTAAAATAAATAATCTGACAATTTGATACATAACTCTGGGAAGATCAATGAACAAAACTGACATTAACCAACTGAGTCCACTCTTGTAAGTAAAGTAATACCATAGTGATGAGAATACTGCCACATACACAAACATTACAGTAAAAGGTGCCTATGATTTTCAACTTCATTGTCCAAATAAAGGGTTCGTTAAGAAATCATAAGACAAAAGGCTCGGTTGCTTCCACACATCAACTTTCTAAAGAATGCATATGAAGTTTTATCTAGTCTGTACATTGTATGTTTATAACAGTAGTAGCATAGAAGATTAAAATACAAAAGACAGTAACCATTTAGGGTTTTTTTTTTTTTTTTGAGACAGAGTCTCACTGTGTTGCCCGGACTAGAGTGCCGTGGCATCATCCTAGCTCACAGCAACCTCAAACTCCTGGGCTCAAGCGATCCTTCTGCCTCAGCCTCCTGAGTAGCTGGGACTACAGGCATGTGCCACCATGCCCAGCTAATTTTTTCTATGTATTTTTAGTTGTCCGATTAATTTCTTTGTATTTTTAGTAGAGACGGGGTCTCGCTCTTGCTCAGGCTGGTTTCGAACTCCTGAGCTCAAACAATCCGCCCGCCTCGGCCTCCCAGAGTGCTAGGATTACAGGCGTGAGCCACGGCGCCCGGCCACCATTTAGAGTTTTAAACGAATTACAAAACCACATGCTTTGTCATTCAACAGGAAAGCATAAATCAAAAGGCAACTGGATCTTAAATGCAGCTGATTGTTCCTCTAAAGGCCAAGTAACATGCTCATTGAGAGGAGACTTTATAGATCCTTCTGACACCTGCCATGAAGTGTCTTGTCAGCACATCTGTAGCCGTGACCCTGCTTAAATGTTTGTTTACTCCTTTTTATAAGGGTAGCTTCATTTTGTTTATACACTAAGTGTTTTCATTTCTCTAAGGAACCATTTCAAAATGATCTTCCAGATGTTTAATAACTAAGCACTTTTTAACTACTGTCCACAAAGGTCATCCTGTTTACTGGCATTTGACTGTGTAGAACAGGAAGTCTGTGTTGCATCTTGTGTTCTTAATGAAGTCCGACAACAGAGGACTGAACGCATTAGTCTCAGAACAGGAGGCCTAAGGATGGCAAAGACCCAAGGGTCAATTATTGAATTAATTGATAAAAATCTAAGAGCTTGAAGGTCCCACTTTTCCTTTCGGGAAGAGGTTTCATTCACATATGCAAAAATCTGTAAGAAGCAAAGGGGGAAAATGATGTTAGTTTTACATCACAGCAGTGAACAGGCTTAGATTCTATGCTATTTCTTGAGATTTAAAAGCAAAACCATGTTTTGTGTTTGAAGAAAGAAGGGTGGGGTAGGGGGACAAAATCGTATGTAACTTATATGTAAATTATAACACAATTAATGCATTTTGCCCCTTGAACTCAATGAAAGCATGTTTTCTGTAGATTATAATTAATATTAACACCATGTGCAATCGTCCTGGTCTTGTCATTGGGAATGGAGGGAAATGAAAAAACTTTTCTTGGCACCTAGAATAGAATCGTTCAATAAAAATCGACAACAATAATATTAGTAGCTCCCATTTATCAATAACCTAATATATGTGTCATGAATTGTTCTGAGTACTAAATCTACTTTATATCTACTCCTTAGAAAAACTCTCAAACTTAAATACTGTCCCTTTTTCACTGACAAGGAAGTGAACTTTAAGAAAGTTATAATAATAATATGTTCCATTTACTTCCAAATACTAAATCTAATTATCACGATTCAGTGAGAGAAGGTTGGCAACAGAGCACCATCAGCAGGAATATGGGTTCTGGCCATTGGACTGCCTGGGTTTGAATCTTAGCTCTGTATAGAGCCTTGGGACCAATGGCAAGAAAACTAACCTTTGTGCCTCAGTTTCTACATTTTTAAAATGGGCGATAATAACAACATACCTACTTCAGAGGGCTGCTAGGAGGATGATGGGAAGCAACATGTGTGAGCTGCTCAGAACAGTGCTCCATTTTACCAATGAGCACACTGGATGTAGAAAAGTTAGGTGACTTGCCCAAGTACCCAGGGCTGGTTAGTGGCCGAATCAGGACACAACTCTCTTGACACCAGCGCAGTGTTTACTGTGTGCTACATCCAGACCTGTATTAGAGCAAAGCTTTTCAGAACAGTGTCCTGAACACTGGAAATCTGACACCTCTTTACATGTGGATCACTGTTTTCAAACTGGCATGCCAGCTCTCATCTGACTCCTTAGATATTCAGGGAGTAACATAGCTTTTTGGTTAGATTGGAAGGATGGAAAAGTACATGATTGATAAAGACCAAACACTTCCATTTAGCATTTAGAAAAGAGGAAAACAAATGTAGATGGCACCTGGTCATTTAAGACCAGTTCTTTATAATGCTTCTGGGACTTTCTAACTATGGCCATCTGTGAGTTAGGGAGCTATGCCCTCTTTTCCTCCACTTTCCTTTTCCAGAAGAAGAAACAGTTGGTTTCCTTTCTCCTAGTACTTACTCTGCAGGCATCTGGCAACTGGATATACACAGCAAATTGCAGGCAGGGAGAAGAGTAGTCATCTTTGGGTTGCTTATGTTAGGACAATAGCAGGAAGATTTGGCAGCCATAGGTGTTTATGCCAGAGAATCTTGGCATAGGGAATGGAGAAAAGATTTGGCAGATGAGTAAGGAAAAAGAAGAACTGATGGTGGGTTTTCCAGATTATAGAGAGAAGAGGAAAGTTAGGTGTGGATATGCAATGAAGCAATAGTTTTCTTGCCAGTTAAACTATTTTGGATGAAAAATATCCAGGATGGTGTATTCAAGTGATTTCAGAAGTTAGAAATTCAGGATAATGATAGATTGAAATATATTAGTCTGATAGATTAAAATATATTAGTGTACACACGTGCATGTGCACGCATATTAATAACTGAGCACCCTGTAGTAGAAAAAGTCTGCAGCTGAGCTTATGATGTAGTTTAGCCAGAGAACATGATGGCGCTGGATTGGCCAGCCAACACAGGCCGGGCGGAGGGCTCGGCATTCTAGTGTCACAGCTTCACACATGAAGATGAGTCAGGTTTTCAGGGGAGAATAACCCACACCACAGTTTCTGATCTCTTTACAGTGTGACAGAGTAACGAGAAGTGAAAACTGATTTTAGAGGATGAAGCAATTCTGTACTGTTTCCTTTCCTTTTCATCCACCATGCTGGGTAGTTTTTAGAATTGCTTAAAATTACACTTCAGGTAGTGGTCAATATTTTGTAGAAAATAATTCCTTCTTTTACACTTGGAAAAGAGACATACTTCAGTGACCCTTCAAGTTCTTGATGTAAGTTTTGTTTTCTACCTCCCCATTTTTTCTCTTGGTTCTTGTCTTTTGCTTGGAGTATCATTTTTGATCTTGTAGATCTTGGGTTGTTTTTTTTAAAATTGTGGTAGAATAAACATAACATTTACCACTTGTGCAACTATATTGTTTATAAAATTTTTACTTTTCTGTATGTTATGATGTTTTTATATCTTAAAAACTTTTCTGGCTGGGGAGAGACTGTCCCTCCTGGGACTCAGTGGTCTCCAACTTTTTTGGCACCGGGGACCAATTTCATGGAAGACAATTTTTCCACAGATGGGGTTGGGGTGAGGGATTGGAACTCAGGCAGTGATGCTGCCAGTTCCTAACAGGCCATGGACCGGTACCAGGCCAGGTACCAGGGGGCTGGGGACCGCAGGGCTAGCTAATTCTTAGAGATAGCAAAAAGCTCAGCTGGGAGCATATCTTTGATATACAGACTAATCAATTCAGAGCAAGACCCCCTTGTCTGGCCCATATACCTCAGAAGGCAATATTCCTCTGCTTTAATCATCCTGGGGCCAGGGCCAGGTAACTAGGGACCACCCCCATAGCTTAGAGCCTGCTGAAATTATTCAAACTAACCAACCCTTACTGTTCACCCCGCCCTGCCTTTCCTGTGGAAACTCCAATAAAGGCAGTGGCCCAGGCTCTTCCCTCCCTCCTGCACCTTGTCCTCCTGGCTGACTCTCGTGCTTTTCCATTTGGCCCTGCATGGTGTGCCATGCCTTGTTTTCCTGAGCTTCTCCTGTGTCTCCTCCTGTGGACCCACTTGATTGACCACAACATAAAAGAACACAAAATAGCAAACATCACCATCATCTCCAGAGCTTTTTTCATCATCCCAAACTGAAACTCGATATCTGTAAACAATAACTGCACATTCCCCTCTCCCTCCAGCCAGTCCTGAGTTTTTAATTAAAGGATGACACAAGGAATATAAAGTAATTAATTAATGTGTCAGTGCTATTCCTTCTGCATACACTACTGATACATTTGCTATGAGAAAGATACCTAGTGCTAAACCAAATGAGTCAAATGCGTTTTAATGCTTTAGGGCAGGCTCTCTCTACCCGGCTGTGCTAAGAGCCTATTGTGACACTTATAAAACCAGCGCAGGCCAGGCGCAGTGGCTCACGCCTGTAATCCTAGCTCTCTGGGAGGCCGAGGCGGGCGGATTGTTTGAGCTCAGGAGTTCGAAACCAGCCTGAGCAAGAGCGAGACCCCGTCTCTACTAAAATTATAAAGAAATTAATTGGACAACTAAAAATATATAGAAAAAATTAGCCGGGCATGGTGGCGCATGCCTATAGTCCCAGCTACTCGGGAGGCTGAGGCAGGAGGATTGCTTGAGCCCAGGAGTTTGAGGTTGCTGTGAGCTAGGATGATGCCATGGCACTCTAGCCAGGGCAACACAGTGAGACTCTGTCTCAAAAAAAAAAAACAAAAAAAAACCAGCGCAGATGAGAATTAATGCTATTCTAGCATTGTCTTGTATAGAAGGAGCCTCCTGTGGAAAACTTCATCTTGGCACTGACTAGGTACTGTTTATTTGAACTACCTTCCTATCTTTAATGCAACTACAAAGTAGGTTCAGAACTTTAGAGCAAATGGGGATTTTATGTGGCTGATCATTGAAATCACCTAAGGAGTTTTTAAAAAATATTCTGATGCCTCGCTCCTTCCCTTAGAGACTCTGACTTAATTAGTCTGGACATCAGGGTGTTAGGGGTTTGAAAAGCCCTCCCAGGTGATTCTAATGTGCCACCAAGGTTGAGAACTACTGTTTTAGACCCTCACCTAAAACCTATTCATTTATCACATTTAAAGATAAAGATCCACTTAGGCCTGGTCAATCAAACAACTGACTTTGGGTTTTCAGAATTCAGTTCCTGATCATTAATATGCAATTTGATTTTCCTTTGGAAATTGAATCCTATGGAGATAGCAGCTAACATTTACCGAACACCTACTGTGTGCTAGGCATGGTGCTAAACAATTTGTAAGTCTTATTCTGTTTAATTTTTACACAAACGTACAAAGTATTATTATTCTCAGCTTAGAGAGGAGGAAACCAAGGCTTAGAAGATCAGTTACCTGGCCCAGGATCACACTCTCTAGTAGAGAAACTGTGAAGTCAGACTGAAGCAGGAGGATACCAACCTTTACTTTAAGCCACTACACACTCTGCTGCCATCTATATAGAAAGCCTATGATGTAAAGCTTCACATGACATTCACAAATGACTGACTGAATTGTGGGTTTGTAGGAGACTTCTCTTCAAAGGTGTCGCGAAGGTTTATAGATATCACTGTTCCTGTTCGTAGATTGGAAAATCATGGCTATTTCTAAGTAGCTACGTGGTTTTCTCTGCAGCTTTTTTTTCCTCCATATTTTTCCATGGCTAAATTGCAGGAATAGATTGTTACATGTTTATCTGCCTTCTGAAAGACATTAGGGTGTCCTGGCTGTAGACTTTGCCTGGTTCATTCTTTAGAAACCTTTTTGGGGGAGATTATTTTCCGGATATATCATTGATGCTTTAAAGAAACCCTTTTACCCAAATCACAGGTGCTTTGTGGTGGAGGGAAATAGAAACCTATTTTCCTTCAGAAGAAAAACTGAGGCATGGATATAGCTCTGCAACTAGAGGGTCCTTTGCCTTGTGTTTCTCAGAACTGGAAACAAAGAAGAGCTAATGCTAAAGTTTAAAGCTCCAGGCCTATATGGAGCATGGTGGCTCTTAACCCTTTGATAAAATGACGCACACTATGAACCATCTACCCAGGACTCATATAAACACGACATTTTGCAAATGATTTCAGAGAGATCCACGCACTTTCCATGGAGCACAGGTTAAGAA